GAACTTCGTCGTCGCCAAGAGCCGCTTCTGGCGCATGATGCGGGATAAGAACAAGGTGAAGTCGACCCACGGTGACGTGCTCTCCTGCAAGGTCGTGAAGGACCGTAAGCTGGCGGCACGCAACTACAGCGTCGACATTGCGTACTACAGCCAGCGCTGCGGATACACGCACATGGTGAAGGAGTTCCGTGACGTTTGCAAGGCGGGGGCGGTGAGCCAGGCGTATCACGATCTCGCCTCCCGCCACCGTGCGCGGTACTGCAACGTTGAGGTGCTGGGCGTGAAAAGCATCCCGAACCACCAGGTGAAGCGCCTTAGCATTGCGGAGTACCACGCCAGCAACCTGTCCTTCCCGCTCCTGCACCGCCGCGTCAAGGCTCCGCGCAAGGACCGCGTCATCTTCGTCAAGAAGAACACGAAGCGCGCCGTCGTCGCATAGTCATTCTGTCGGAAGAGGGAAGAACAAAAATGGGGGTGCGGGCGAGGAGAGAAGAGGGAGCGGGAAGGTTAGTGGGATGTGCCTCTGTGTACTCTCACTCTCACGTTTGCTCCCTCGCACGTTGCCTCTTCTCTCATCTCTGCTCCTCCACTTTGCATGCATGCATTTCCAGTGGGTTTGCGCTTGAGGGGTCTGTTTGTATTCTTCGTTTCATTTTTTTTTGGCTCTCTTTTTTGTGATTTTGCGTCTTGTTTGAGTCATTTCGCAGCTACTCCCCTGGCGCAGTGGCATCTCTGCATGCCGGCGTCGACGTGCGTACGTGTGTGTGTGTGTATTACTCCTTGCGATTCATGCTGGGATTTTGCCTTAATTTCTTTGTCTTCGTCTTCTTTATTTGGTTTCCTTGTTGCTGCAGCCACGCACTGCGAGCGGTGGTAGTAGGAGTAGTCGTCGTGGGTGGTTTCTCCTTTGCGCAGGAGTCGTTCTGCTGGCAAAGCAGACGAGGCAGAGGTGTTGTGTGTGGGGAAGGTGCGATAAAGTGTCCAGCCAAAAGGAAGCGAGGGCTGAAAGGGGGTGGGGGAAAACGACAGCCACAAGAGGAAGAAACAAAGGCAGCGGAGACTGGCTGGCTCATCGGCGGTAAGGATTACTTGCAGCACGTATATAACTCGCATCGTCTTCTTATTTCCGGCAGCGCTAGGGAGATATATATATATATATATACCTGTGCACGTTACGTGGCCATGTCAACTGAGGAGGCGGGGAGTGGGAAGATAAATTGTCATCTCATCCTTCTTTGCAGCGACAGTCCTCTCTTTGATTTTAACGTGCTGACTGCCATTCTTGCCCATGGAGTGGCACTGGCACCGACGCCGTCAGAGGCGGCATCCGCGACACCGCCATCAGCAGATGCAACGGGGGACAATGATGCGGAGGGGAGTCTCATCAACGCCATCTTGGCGGCACTGCAGGCGGCTTCCAGAGGACCTTCCGAGGTGGGCACGAACGCCTTCAGTGCCACCGCGCTGAGCACCGCCACTAGCGGAAAAGTCAGTAAGGCATTGAAGGGCGCCAAGAAATCCGCAGCCATGTCAGTCACGGCCACGTCGGCACCTATTCGGAATGGCTCTTTAGTTGAAGGGTTAAAGACCTTGGGGGGCGACGGCACGCAGCGGTCGCGTGCGGAGTGGTACAGTGTGGTGAAGGGTCCACAATGGCGTGTCCCGGTTGTGTTTATACACCAGTTGCCAGAACTTGAGCGATGTGAGGGGGCAGAGGGCACGGGCTCGATGCATACGGGCACGCGCGAGGCACCTGCAGACTTTAGCGCGATGGTGCAAAACGCATTTCGAATGATCGCCGAAGACATGGATGGCTTCGCCAACACTAATAACGACACATGTATCAGGACGTTGCTCTCTGATGGCAGCGTCCTTGGCGAACAAACGCAGCTTGTGCCACAACCAGGCGGAAAACCGCGGGTGTTCACGGGAGAAATAGCCGTGGTGTTGGCGCTGCAGGATCCCCGGGACCTACCCGCACTGCTAAATAGGAGAGCATCCCCAACCAATGCTATTGACACACGTCTTGTCGTGCAGTTTGTAGATGGACGACCGGCTGGCGTAGCAAGGGCGACGGGTTCAGTTAACACAAGTGGACGCTCGCGTGCCGCCGCGTCTGGCAAGCGCACAGCCCCGCGTGAGAGCGCTATGCCTGGTTTGTCAACTGGTGCCAAAGACGCTGATGGAAGCAATGCCTCCGGTGACGCCGTCAACACACTCAACGCGTGGATTGAGAGGCGGCAGAGGGAGGGAGGGATCAAGGTGGTAACATCTGCAGGGGAAGCCTCTGGACCCGGTGTAGTTTGCCTGCGTGAGGTATTTGAGAGCGGCGGGGACGACAAGGGCGTGTGGGTGCAGCGTTGCGTGCGAAATGTGCTGCCAATGATACAGCACGTTTCGCACGACATCGCACGTTACGTGGAGCTGATTGGCTCGAAAACGGTGTATCGTCTTCCCGCCACTTTGGCAATGCCACAGCCGCAAGCACAGGCCCCGACACAGCAGGAGGAACCCTTCGTCGGGACTGAAACTACCGTTGAGTCATCGATGTTGTTTCGAACAAGAGACCAAGCCCCAACGATGTTTACCCCTCTGGCATCCGGTATGACAATGACTGCGACGTCGGCGAGAACGATGGGCTTCGACGAGACCGTTTTGCAATACCCGCCCACAAGTGACTTGACACTCCTGCCCGGGAACACAGCCCGCTTTTTGCATGGGGAGAGGGAGAAATGGCCGTACTATGTTCGGGAAGTGAAAGTGCGAGGGCAGTGGACGTGTGCCTCCGCCGCATGCGCCCTCGCCGCACAGGTAACCGTCTCATTGGCGAGGCAGCAGGAACTGAGAGTGGTGTGCCCTGCAGACGAGGGGGACACCAACACCTCTCTGGCAGTGATGAATGAACAGGATGCGGCGTTGCCGGTAGTCAACATAAGAGATAGAACCGGAGCCTCGCTACTGTTACAGCTTCGTCAGTACGCTTCCAAGCGTACGGTATTGGGAGCATTGGATATGAATGGTGGCGCGGACATTGCTGCTGCTGCTGCTGGGGTGGTGGCAGCGGCAGCGGCAGCGGCAGCGGCGGCGGGGAGGAGAGATGGGAAGTCGAGCATCCCCGTAGAAACTCCAGGCAGTACACCACCACGTTGCTCCCCCATACCCGTGGACGAGGACCAAAGTTTGTTGGTCAACACGACGGCAACACTGCCGATGGATCACACATTGGACCGCCCAGCAAACCCGCCAAGCCCGGAGGAGATTCGGTGGATGACGCAGCAGTTCATTAAACGGGGGATTGGCTCCCTTGCCTCCCTGCCCGCAGAGGTTCTGAGGGGCGAGGGACCCCTCATGTTTTCTCCGGATGAACTAAGAGCAGCGATTAAAGTGCAGGAGCTTCTGGAGGAGACGTTAAATGGGCACACCTTGAACGATGCGGAGGACGCGATGGACGAGCGTTTGTTACATCTTGTTGAGGAAGACTTTAAGCGCGCCAGTGAGACACTTGCCTACGGGTGGAACCAGGTGTGGGATGACCTTACCGTCGCAGTGGGTCTCACCACTGTGAATGAAAAGTTGCGGTCTTCGGTTGAGCGTAAATTGACAGCACTTGAGCGGACACACATCCTGCAGCAGATTTATCTTATGCAGCTCGCTCGGAAGTCACGCATGACAGGCATGGTGGTCGCCACCAGCACAGCCCTAGCATCCACTCGCAATGGGTGGGCTGCGTTGACGCATTCAAATGCGCGGAGAGACGTGGTTGGCCCCACCCTGCGGTCTGTGGAGGAGTGTATGACGATGCCCGTGGCAATCCGCCGTTTGTATGAGTTTCAGTCTCGCTTTGGTTCGCATATTTGCCGCGTGATGCGTTGTCCTATTTCCGATCCGTTAGAGACGCTGGATGGAAACCTCACCACACTGTACTCTACACATGCTGAGAATGTGTACTCACGGAAGCGGGTTCAAGCGGTGATGTTGGGTGGCGTACCCGTTCCGCATGAACGGCAGACGCGGTGGGTGTGGTGCCATTACGTTGCCGGTGTTCCCACCATCGACCAAATGAACGAGCTCAGTGCCTCGCGGGGCCCAGCGACGTCTCATGCGGTTCCTCCGTCCGCCGCTTCCGTTGGAGAGCCCGCAGTGAACGCAACTTCTACTGTTTTTGGGGCTTCTATTGGGGAGCTGCTTCGTCAGCAGCTTCTGCAGCGACTACAGGCGTCACCGCAGCTCTTGCTCGCACCGGTGGAAGATAAAGGGCGAACGAACGGTGTGTGCCGCTCTGAAGGGAAGCTGCAAACGGTGCTGGAGGGTCGTCACGTCTTGTACCCCTTTGAAAATAGCGTGGTTGAGGTGGTCACGACCGACCGAGGTCGCATGTGCCGCTACGTGAAACCCAGCGAGTTAACCTGTACGCTGCACTATGGCATTGCACCACCGCCACCACCGTCACCGTCACTCAGTGCGGCTGCCGGGAGTGTTGCCGGCGGGAACGTGAACGCGTTGGTGCCGCCACATGTTCCACACAAACTGCCGCGTGATGAGGCTATCTACTTCACAGCCACCTTTGATGACGGGGTGGTTTTCACCTGTACCCCGCACTGGGCTACACCCGTGAATCCCAGCACCGTCGTAGAAAAGGAACCCGACGTCAGCCCCAGCACGGTCTCTGTAAAGAGTCCAAGCTTACGCCGTGGGAAGGCAGCAAACAGGTCCAGTAGACGAGGCACGAACACCTCTACGGTATTGACAGACGATAACCACCCGAGTGCGCGACGGGGGGTGGGGGCGGCGAAGCAAAAACGACGTGGTGGCGAGGACGTCGACCCGTTGACAGCGGTGTCCGAAAGGTCGATTCGCGTGGAGGAGCATCCCCGCGTTTTTCCTGTCGCGCTGGAAGGATCTGTCTTATTGTGGACTGCAGCCCCAGAGGTAGTGCCTGGCGAGGACACGAATGCAAATACCTCGTTGCCGGTAGCTGTCGGCGCGGAAGTTCCCCGCAAGATTCCCAGTTTAGCAGCGACTGTGGCCGCCAACGGTGTCACGGTACACTGTGAGGAGGAGGATGGAATTTTGTGGATCATGCGGCACGAGTCTAGCGAGCGTCTGGCGACGGAACTGCTGCGCTGCGTGCATGTGTATGACGCGCATGCAAGGTGGGAGGAGACGGTAGAGATGGAGGTGCATCGCGCAGTGCTAGAGGAGGTGGGGGCAGTTTGCCGCTACTTTCACTCCGGTGCCACACGGATGATGTACCCCAATGGGACGGTCGTCACGCGATACCCGGTGCCGGTGGCCACTTTGGGTGGCACACCAGTCATTTGCGAGACAGTTCTTATGGCAACAGGCCTCTGCTACGTGCGTCAGCTATGCGAGGGGAGCGCAAGTCCCTTTGTACACGTCGTGGCTAACACCCTTGAGACCCGGGTTGCGTATGATCGTAGCAATCGCTGCCGCATTGTCTCACGGGCAGACGGCGTCATGATAGTCTACTATTACTTGAACCGCGACTCTCAAGAGCCAAACAAGCAACAACAAGGGGAAGGAGGGGAGGGGAGACACCTGAGCGGTGATAGCGTCACAAATCAACAGTATCGTAAGGAGGATGAGGAGTGGGAAGAAAGGCCTGCGTGGAGTGACGACAACTCCGCTCTGTGTGATACAGATGTCATTGCCCGTGTCACATTACATGCAGATGGCACCTGCATCACGACCTTCTCAAGTTGCCTGATACATGAGGCCTGCACCGACCCCCCAGCGCCGTTGAAGACGTTGTTAGAGCAGGTGGGTGTTGTTGGCGCGGCATGTGGGGCCACAGTACACTATTGTGTGGAAGCGCCATCACTGCCCCGCGTATTTGTGTGTGCCTCGTTACACGATGGTGCTTGGGCCACCGCTGAAGGCGCGCGCTGCGTAACGCTACAAGACACAGAAGCTCAAAGGGCACTTACTGCGGCATTGCAGAATATACCCTCTCCTAAATGCAACAGCACGCCTGAATTTGCTGCCTCACCCTTGTCTTTGACGGGTTGCCCCTTTCCTGCACTTAACGCTGGCACTAGCGACAACCTTGTCGGCACCTTCATACGATGCAAGTCGTATAACTGGTTCTACATCGTATTTGGTGACGGCTCCGTGCTGCGGCGACGTGTGATGTATCGTGGCATGCGTGGAAACGGTTTTCCCTTTTTAGAAACACTCTTTACGCGCTCCACGGCAACCTCCATTCGTGTGATTCATGAGTCTGGGCTGGCCATCGTGGAGCCGTCCGAGGCTGTGCGCCGCAACGCGGAGGCGATCACATCCCTTGCGATTGGTGAGGGCTTCGCCATGTTTGACATGGCGCTGGGTGGGATGCGGCTGGTGGACCATCAACACCACGTGACGGAGGTGCATAATTTGTATTCTTCGGGCCCAGTCAGGGCGGGCCTGACGTCCGCCACGCTTGAGGGCCTTCTTCGCAAGCTTGTGCTGCCGACGTACACCCCGCATACTGTCACCAAAGCCCGCCAGGTGGCGATGCGGCAAGAAGAACTGAGGGCAGACGCACGGACCCGGTGGAACCGTGCCACAGGGACCTGTGCGGCGCTGACAACGCGTCTGCGGGAGCTTGCCGAAGGCTTCGTCATCGCCCACAATCTACTTCGCATTGACATTCTCAACATGTCCAAGCGTCAGTGGGAAGCTGGAAGCTTGGGAAATGTTGAAAAAAAGTCTGCACGCGAATTCGCGCCAGAGGCGTCGTGGGGCAACACCACCTCTTCCATGGCAACAGAAGGCTCCACTGTGCTGGAAACCCTCGTGCCCGCGACTGTGGCCATACCATTGGGCGTGTTGCCCATTTTATTTTCCGAATTGGAGAATGGTGTTGTGGTGCAGCACATTCACCATCACGAGGTGGAGGAGTACGTGCACGCCAGAGGTGCTGAGCTGTTCCCCGTATTTTTGACGCGAAGCACCGCTGCTGGTGAGCCCGGTGTGCAGCAGCTGACGTTTTTTCGCGCCGAGGCGAATGTACGGGCTGCCGATGTGTCAGCGCCAGTTGGGCCCACGTCGACTGTTTTTGCCTCGGGGCGCTGCTCATCATGCTTGTGGCACACCACCGGCGATCTGAAGTTTGGGCAGAGCAACACGGTGGTGACGGGTTCCCTCCTGAGTGGGGCGGTGCAGCGGCAGAAGAGGCTGGCCCTCTTTTCAGGGAGGCGGCTGGCGTTTCCAACGACGCAGTGGCTTCCACCGGCGGTGCAGCCCCCTCGCCACTTTCTGAATTCGCGCCTCAACACCCAGGGCAGTGGCGCGCGGGCGGGGGGCGTGGTACTGATGGACGACGTCATTGGCAAGAGTGGCGGTGCCACAGACTCGCTCTCCTCCTACGAGCGATTGCGTATCTTTTTCAAGTTCAATGAGTTTACGCCAACAGCTCAGCAGGCCGTGTTGGCGAGTGAGGTGCGGCGGCATGAGCAGCTTGCGTCCATGCTAACGTACCACAAGGCCATGAATGCGTTGACGCCGGAAATGTCTTACAATGCCAGCGATGAGCAGCGGCGCCTCCGTGAGAAGTACCTCATCACATCCACGTCCTGTGGGAACCCCACGCAGGCAGGAAGTGCAGAAACACAAAGAGTGACAGGAAGCGAATGAAGAGTGAGTAAATGGTGGTATCCGTCAATGCGGCGTGTATCGACCGCAGTGATGCGAAGAACGAAGGAATACGACGCCGACGGATAAAGGCTGGCTATCCTGCGTGCTTCTACAAGCCAGTACCGCAGCGATGTATAAAATGTCTCCTCATTTTGTGGACTGCGTGTGTTTGTTTGTTCGTTTGCCCGTGTGTTTTTATCTGTGTGTTGTGGTTCGTGGTTGTGCAGCGTCACTCCGGTGCGGCGCAGAACAAAGCAGCGGAGCCCTCACTGCACTAGCCAGCGCAGAAATTTTCGGCAATGTAAAGCAGAGGACAATGCAAGAATGAAAGTGGAGAAGGCAACTCTCCGCGACGACGTATTTGTCGCGCCTCGTGATGAAGGAATTCATCCCGTTAATGTCTGACGTTCGTGAGGTGCACCTCCTCCATTTCCATTTCCATTTCCATTTCCATTTCCATTTCCTGCTCCCGTTATTCGATGTCGGTGTGTGTGTCACACTTTTCTCTTTTCTCTTCTCCCCTCTTCTCCTTTGGAACTGAACACACACACACACACACAATTTATATGCACCTGTAAACAAGAATAAGCGCGCGAGAAGGAAGTGAGCCAGCCTTCACTCTTCTTACCCCACCCACCTCTCAGAAGGCGCTTCCAAATTCATGTGGAAACAAGACATCGGTCAGTGGGTGGAACGCAAGGGGCGCCGCGGTTGGGTTAAGCAGCAGCAACAACAACAACAATCCACCGCGCCAACGTTGCCTGTGAGGCATGCCTGCTTCCTCCCCGAAGGGTTTGAGGATCGATGTGAGGATGTGACGCTTATGCCCGACGTAGCGGCAAACACCGTGCACTTGAATGATGACAACAACAAAAACAACAATGGCGCGGTCCTCTCACCTGCAGGAGAACGCTGGGTTGCCGTTTATGGTGCCTCACCAGAGAGCATTATGAACGTGCGAGAATTCCTTGACGTCATGTTTGGTCGGACCGTGTCGCACTATTATCCCTTGGCATATGCATCCTCAGGAAGCAGTGAATTAACGCCTATTCTGGCGGGGGGTCAGAATTGGTTCTACGTGAAGTTTGAGGATCCGGTTTCGGCGGCTCGGGCTGTGTATCAAAGTCCTCTTACCATTTCTATGGCTGGTGGCCATGGAAACACTTCAGCGGCGGTAGATCAGAGTAGGGGTGCTGTTGGTCCCGCAGCGAGGGAAGAGGTGGTCGGGGTGACGTGGTGCACGGATGCACGGTTTCTGCAGAAGGAACGCGAGACAGAGCAGAAGCGAAGCGAGACGCAACACCTCAGCGGCGTTTCCACTGAAACCTACTGCAATCGTCTGCAGAGAACGATGGGTGACATTAAGAATACGTCGGGTGTGACGCCGCGTGGAGCAGAACGTCTGCATCGCACACCTCCTCCTTCACATAGAGAGACAAGAAGTGGGGGACGACTTTCACGTGGCTTAGGAACCCTCCTGTATGATGCGCTTCGATCGCCTTGGCACGGGCGATGGACGGGAACCCAGTCCCGTGATGGCTCGTCCCCACGTATGGGTGCCAGCACGTCGTCCGGCTCTCTCACATCTTCCTCACCGACCCACACGGAGGTGTTTCATGAGGAGCCTGGGGCGGCTGGCGGCAGGGGCCTATCGCGGCGGTGTGCCAACCAGGAGGTGGGGGCGGGGCGCAACGACGGCGGTGAGACGTTGGCCCCAACGGGGGATATCACTGTCCCGTCGTGCCTCTATTCACGAAGAGGGCGGTGCCACCACTACGATGCTGCACGTCAGCTTCACGGCGTCATACCCGTTCGTCCACTTCGCGGTAATGAGTCGGTGCTGAGCGTGTTTCGCGCCGACGCCGCGGAACGTAGGTTGATACGACGAGTTTTTCTTGCCCTTGCACGCCTGCCCTCACGCATCTCGCGCCTCCTGGTTTCCCCGGCATTGTGGCATGAGAACCCAGACGAGGCTGCAGCTGCTGCGGACGACAGCCAGTGGCTATCGATGTTCGGGGGTTTTGTTGTGGATCGGCGGAGCGGCCAACAGCGGCAGCTCTTACGCAATCGTCATTACAACGCCGCCGCCCGGTTCATCGGCGTGAACGGGGGCTACGGAGAGACCCCTGTGATTGCTGCATGGACCCCGTACCGCTGGTATGAACGCAGTAGCGTGGTTTCTCTGGTGCTCTGCCTGTTTCTCTTTATTGTCGTGTTTTTCTCAGGCCTTTGGGGTGATGGGGCCGCCGTCGTTGACGTTGCAACCGCTGGGCGTTGGAGCAACGACACCGCCGCTGCCTCTGCCATGGTCCTCGACACCACGTACGACGGCAGCAAGTACGCGGCCCCACGCCTGGGGGATGGGCAGCTGCAAGGCACCATGTTTGCAGATGGCATCTACGCCAGTGATAGATATACCGCACGAACCCTGTAAAGTCCCTGAAGCATAATGCGGGAAGCAGAGAGGTCAACAGAATTACGAACGAAGAGACAAAGGATTGAGGTGCAGAGGAGGTCAGAGAGAGAGAAGAAAAAAAAAAAGATGGCGAAAAAAAAAGGTATTTGTTGTCGCTACGTTAATAGTGCTAAGATCCACTACTCTTCTTCCCCTTACTCTCATGTACTCTACTTTCATCTCTCTCGACGTGTAGAGGAGAAAGGGTTATGCATATATACAAAAGCATATGTATATATATATATAAATGTATGTATATAATATGCATACAATTGTGTCTCTGTGTATAAACGATTTGTGTGCAATTTGGCCTGTTCTCTTCTTTGTTGCTTGTTTTTCTGTTGTTTGCTTTGTTGTCTCTCCGCCGCCCCCCCAGTGCGCCGTCTGGGACAGCTGATGGGTACAGTCGGGGGCACGCATGATCCTTTCATTGCCCCTAGTGGTGTTTGGGAGCTCAAAGTTAATGGCGAAGCGGCGGAGCCCACGCAGTGCTCCCCGTCTCAGCTACCAGACCTGCTCCGTGACAGAGAGGAGCTTGACGGTGGGGAGCTGAACACCCGCGTGGTGGCAGCGTTGCGAGAGCTGCTGTGCTGCCCCATCTGTCATCGTCTTCTGTTGCATGACCCTGCCGTTGTCGACACGTGTGGGCATGTATTCTGCTACAAATGCATTAACTTGGGTATCGAGAATGGCTGTTTGCCGGTTGCCGCAGTGGCGCAGGCGGAGGAGGAAAGAAGCGATGAAGTGGAGGAGGTGCACTTCTGCGGCGAAAGTGATCATCGTTTGGCTGGCGTCCAAAGGGGCGATGCAGCAGGGGAGGCGATGGTGGCGGATCCTCGCACGCGTCCCGCCCGCCCTGGACGATCACAACGGCGGCGACAGCCGCGGAAGCGCAGGCTGAAGTTTACGTGCCCCGTGTGCCTGGGCCCCGCACACAAGTGGAATCTGGTGCGTGTGCGGTTTTTTAGTGACCTGGTGACGGAAGCGTTGAGCCACCCCACGCTGGCGAAGGCCCTGCCAGCCGCTGAAGCGAAATGTGACGCCTCCGCCCAGATGGACGATGACGCAACGCGTGGCGAGGGAGCGCCACCGCCGTCACAGCGCGAGCGTACAGCCGCGCAAAAGCAAAATAAATTTGATTGACGTCATTTTCTGTCGTTGTTTGGGTTTTCCCCATGAGCGGGGAATTCCTTTCGCTGAACCGGAGATGTAGAAGGGACTCCGCAATGACGACGGGGTTTTGAAGGGCGCGAAGGAAACATGAGCGATGTGTTGCGAGCCCGGTGGTGGAAATGGGCATCCAACACGTGTTCGCCGCTCTATTCACGCTGTTCTTTTCCTTTTTTTTTTTCTTGCTATTGCGTGTCCATTGGTTTGAAGGTGGGGATTTTGTGACTTCGACGCCACCCTGAGCGTTACTGATACCCTCACTTTTCTTGAGCACCATTATTGCGTGGTGTTGTGCCTCCGTTTCTTTGGTGTAAGAGGTCTACCACCGCCGGTTGCTTGGCTTTGTCGCGTGGGGAGTACAAAAGCCTAAACAGATGCTGGAAGGGAGACATGTGTGCTTGTATTGTGTGGAGTTAGCTATCATCTGTTCGTGTCTGCAGTGCCCGCGTGTCCGTGCCCCTGCATATGGGGAGGGCGTGGCCAAACGACGCGTCATCGCATCTCGTCTGAACTGCTTCACAGCAGCAACGGGGGGTGGGGGGTTCTGGCCGTTACTTAGTGACTCTCTCTCACGTCTTCCTCTTTTCCTCTCTGTGCATATCTCCTTTTCACGTTTGGTATATATATTTATATATATTTAGAAATCCACACTTTTTGTGCGACAGGTGGGCACAGTGGAGACGCACGATGCCTCCTAAGAAGCGCGGGCACAACACGCGGGGCCGGGATAAGATCTTCCGCAATGCAGTACAACATGTGCATGTTGGTGTAGGCCACGGTGTGCTGGGGGACATCAACCTGCGTTCTGTAGCGGGGCCTGTGAGTCGTGCTGGCGATGATGACGTCGGCGACAAGGCGCACGATGAGTGTGCTTTTTTGATGGAGCTGAACGAGTTGATGCTCTCCCACTCCACGACGGACTTCAGGCGGTTTCGGTGGGAGGTACTGGAGCTTTGTGAGTCCAAGGCCCTCTTTCGCCTCAACCACCGCAAGATTGCGGAGAAGCTTCTGCTGTGTCTCATGCGCCGTGACAAGTTTGCGGAGGGATTTGAGGCGTTTGTGCGACTGACCGTAGTCTTTGCACGCGACATGCGGGAGAAGTTCTTGGCCTACTTTGAGTGCTTCCATCAGGCCATCAACGGGGGGATCTTCGACGCCAAGGGGGAGATGCTGGCAGACACCCGACGTCTGCAACTCGTCTTTGCTGCGCAGGTCGCGTGGTGTCGGGAGATGCGTCCTTACTGGCTACTGCTGGAACAGCGGAAACTTGTGGAGCGCGTCATTCGCCTCTACGTGCGACAGATGCATGACACGAAGGAGTACATTCGACGACTCTCCGCGGAGGTGTTGGCGTCGCTCTGCCGCATGGCGCAGGACCTGGTCCCGCTTGTCGTGCAGGAGGCCTGCCTGGACGTGGTGCAGGACTTCGAGACGTACTGCAACGCCACAGCGCACAGTAGCGCGGCCCCCACTGCGGGCACCGACGATGGAGAAGAGGAGGACAATGACAACGACGGAAGCAACTTCGATGAGGATTCCGCAGCAGCGCTCCAGCCAGGAGGTCCCACCGTTGTTTCCCCGTCACTGCTTCAGGCATACGAGCAAAATCGTCTTGCGTTGCTGCCTGTTGTGGATGGTTTGTGCTTTCTCGCTGCGGAGATGTTTCGTGGAATTCGTGGGTCCCTTAGCACAAACTTTGAAAACAACTACGCGCTACTCGTTTACGTGTTCGGGCTTTCGCGGCGGCCACAATTTTCCGGCACGTACTGCGCTGGAGATGGCACAAATGAGGAGGATATGTTTGGCTTTACGGAGGAGGACGCACGACGCTTCGTGCACGCCTCGCGGTGGGCGGAAACGTTTACGGGCCCTCAATGTGAGCAGAACGCAGGCCGGTGTGAGAAGAGCCCCACAGCAGGCGACACACAACAGGCTCGACAACGCGGTGAGGTGCTACGAGAACTCGTTCAGATGACAGGCGGCGTCGCCATCGGTACGGCACTGCGCACGGTGGCGGAAGAGACAGTCAATTCCCCCTCTGGCACCGCTACTGCGGAGGAAACGCAGCTGCAGGGTGTGCAGGCCCCGTTACTGCGGCTACTCAAAGCGGTGGCGGCGCTCCTAGAGTTTTCGCTGCCGCACACGCGTCTGTTGCAGTCCCTCCTGCACGCCACGGACTATAAACTTCTTCGCGACCCGTCGGCTACGGTGACACTGCGGCAGACATCGGAGATGCTCCTGGAACACATGCGGCAGCGGATGCAGCAGGTCTCAGCATGTGTGACAGGAACCGGGGCGAGGGAGGAGTGGAGCCGTTTTGTGCGTACCTGCGGTGGTGTACTGGAGGTGTTGACGCCTTTGTGCGTGGGCGCAACGGGTTTGACCTCCCATGCGAGAAAGTTGCAAGGCCTCTTCTCGCCACTTGCCCACGAGGTTGTGGCGACCTGCGTGTCCGTTTCGTGTCGCACCAACAATGCTGCCTGTGACGATTCAGATGCAGGTTGGCAAGAATTTCAGCGCGCAACCAAATTGATGCTGTTCGCGTTTATGCAAGATGTTCTGCAGAAAAACTACACCTTTTGCCTGCGGGACGAGCGTCGGTTAAGTGAGGGTGAGGCGGCACCACGTAGCAAAGGGCATGTAGTGAACTCGCACCTGTCTACATTTGCGTTGGCTCTTCTGGTCCCTGTGCTGTATGCTGCATGTGTGGACGCAAACGCGGCGCTGGATCATCTTCGCGGCAACTGGGCGACGCTAAACAGCGAAACATGCGCCGCTGCGATGTGTAAGGTGACGCGTGCGGCGATGATGACCCGTATGATGTGTGATCGCGCCACACACCTGGTGCCCAGTCCACTCTACTTGGCATTGACCACCACCGTATCCCCCTCCGCAGAGGCTGCCGTCTCCTCCCTCACGGATCGGGATGCCTTGAGCAGCGGCCTGCAGACTTTCCTGCATGGCGTCTTGGCGATGTTTGCAAAGACACTGGGAGAATTGGACGAGAAAGCACGGTATTATGCATCCAGGTGGGCAGATGTGGTGTCGGCCATTCTCCCGATTGTACTGACCGTGGTGGATGCAGAGAAGGCGGTGACGGTGGATACAAGTCGCACCGTTGCCCTTGGAGCCTCCTCCTTTGCGTGGCACTTCCGCGAGGCGCTGCTACAGGTGATGCGCAGTGTCAAGGATACCATATATAGTAACAATAGTAATAGTAATGTTAAGGATAACAATAAAGAAAGAGGGGCAACGCTACTGACACAGCCTACTGCCGCCTCCTACGCCTTGTTTGCGCAGGCGTCGACACTGCTGGTCCAGCTGGACACAATAACAGGTGTGCTGGACGCGGAGAGCACGCAGGTGGAATGTGTGGGTTTTCTACAGGACGCTGTCATGGTCCTCGCCGCGAGTTTTCAAAGCAGGCATGTGAAGGAGCTGAATGACGAGGAAACAGGACGTCTTCTTCATGGAATGGAATGCCTGCTGATGTCATTGCTGCGTCTCTTTGGATTTGAGCTGGAGTGTGGTACGGAGGTCGCTGTCAGTGCGTCGAAGCAGCAGCAGCAGCAGAAACGCAGCAGAAATTCAACTGAGACATCCGAGCAAGCATTACTTACCGCCATATCGAGGCTTCACGTGGCACTGGATACTGCAACACAGCGGGCGCTGGTGGAGACGCTACTTCTTGAGGCACTTGCGTCTCCGGTCCACTCTTTGCGTGTTGTGGCTCTTCGTCTGCTGCGGCTGCTCTGTCATCCAGGCGTGCCGGAGGCAGAGCGAACTGCGGGTTGCTGCACCATTGACCTCTCCTTCTTTGACGCCTTGTTGGATGCGGAGCTGTTTGACCCCCTGTCGGCGGCGGGAAACCTCGACGGTGTGCGTCAGGCGTTGGCGAAGTTGACGTTTGCGGCGGCTGCGGGGACACTGCGGAATCCGCTTCAACGAGTTATTTTGGGGCATGCCATGGTTGGCCTGCTGCACACACGATTTGCGGAAGCGTGGCCGGTTGCGTTGAAGATGCTTGCGGACCTGGTGCGCATGGAGGACACATCCGCGCAGCTGCTGCTGCCGCCCCAGCACCGACACGGCGTGGAGGTCTCAGACGGGAGTGTCTGCCTCGCCGGTGGTCATGCCCCTTCGTTTTCCTCCTCTCCCTCCTCCGCGGCAGCTACGGCGTTGACAAAGTTGGAGCCGTTGGTGTGGCGGGGAGTTATCTGCCGTTACGCCCGGGCGGTGGTGTTTGGGGACATTTTGCGCGAGGCCGCAGCGGGAGATTTCAATGATGCGGCGGACGACGACCACGACGACGTTGGTGGTGACGCACGCGTGCGTGGCAAGGCCACAGTGTGGTATCGTATTTGCCTCACGGACGTGCAGCGCCACGAGAAGGGCGAGCTTGTGAGCAAAGAGTTCGCCACCGCCCGCTCCGCGGCCGCCGCAGTGACGCTGCTGCAGCTGGTCAACACCGACGGCGAGGTGCTTTCGTGGCGGCGCCACTACTTGCCCTCAGCGTCACCGACACACACACACGGGGCACGCACGACGGACCGCGCGGTGTTGGCCAAGACTTTTTTGTCCGGACTCTCAGAAATGACGCGTGGTGGGGCGGCTGGCGAGGGGCGGGTCGAACTTGTAGCGGGGCTGGTGCTTGAGCTGGCGGCGGTGCGCCGTGGGGAGCACCCGGATGGGCTGCGGCAACTCAAAATGTTGGACGACCGCCTTGTGCTGGCGATGAACGCCTGCAATGTGACACCCATCGCATCCTCCGCCGCCGTCACCGCCTCGCAGGAGCGGGTGCTGGCGGACGTCCAGAAACGCCTGGTGGCTCGCAACGAGAAGCTGCAGACGATTTGTATCGGATTTCTGTCTGACGCGAACAACAAGCTGCAGCGGGCTGCCATAGATATGCTTCAGCGACTCAAGGTCTGTCCCTTCTCGCGCCACCATGCCCAGCTGATTCCATACTGTGACACGCAGAAGAACCTCTTTCACTTCTTGTCCACCTTTCATGTGGAGACGGATATTCCAGAGGAGGACAAAGCCGATTACATTGCCACGGCCATCGCTATCGTGCTGCCAAAGCTTACGATAAAAGTCTCGAAGGAGAAGTTAAAGGACCAGGCGATTCTGCGGCGTCGTGTCCTGGCGATGGTGACACACCTCTCAACAGGTGGAGGGTTTTCTAGCGTGCTGGAGGGACTTGTACAGAGGTTGATCTTTGAACGCGTCATGCCAAGCGGTGGGAAGGAGTCGACCGCCGTGCGATTCCCAGAGATGTGGACAGAGTGGGTGCAGACCAACAGTCACTGTGCGCGACGACTGGAGCGTCTTGTGAAGCAGCTGCTGAACACAATACAGCTGCTTAGTGCGCTACTGCAATCGGTTGGCAAGGGATTCGAGTCCTTTGCGGGGTCGTGCATGCACCTCGTCCTCAATGCCTACCTCATCAGCTGTAAGCAAATTTTGCAGGCACCGTGCGGCACCGAGAAGATGTCTGACGACGAAACACATCGGCGTGTGCATGGTGCATTGGGGTCATCGACGCTAAATGCGCTTTTGCCACGGCTGCGTCGCGCGGCTGCAGTCATGGTGTCATCCCTGTTTGAACAGTTTCCCGCGGAGGCCATGGCAGCGCTGCGGAAGGATCTCGTTGAGGTTTCCGCCGGAGACGTCGCACAGAGCCTCATCGGTCGATATGTCGCAATGCTCCACGCAAACAGCAGCGGTGCCATACCCGAGTTGATGAGTACCCAAGGCTCTGGTGATGGTGCCAGGACAGGCGTTACCCCACTGTTGCGGCTTGTACGCGCGTGGGTCGACTCCCCGTTAACGATGCCGCTAATTGGCACCTTTGGGGACACCGTGACGGCCATGTTTGTGCAGGTCTTTGCGTACGCAGCGGCGAGTTCTGGTATGACACGCCCCCCGGCAAACGCCGGTGGGGCGGTGCCTCCCGCAGTGTCCACCGGCTCCCGTGTGCAGCAGGCGGCGGTGCTCTCCGTGAATGAGGGGCTTCGTTGCGTGGGTATCATTCTCGCCTCCAGTGAGGAGCCATTTGACATGTTTGGTGCCCCTGGCTTGACCACGCTACAGGAGGCTTACGTCAAGCCGCACGCGATGACGATTTTTGCGTCGCTGTATCAGCTGATTCTTCGGGGTGGTGGCGCCTCCGCGGCTGCAGCGCCGGCGTCTGCAGGCGACGGTCGCTCGGGTGGCGCAAGCAGGCAACCGAAGCTTTCCGCTCCGGTGATGGCCTTCAGTGTGTCGATGTGGAAACAAATGATTGCGACGGTCACCGCACTTTCCGAGTACGTTGTTGCGACTGACGCCAGTGGCAGTGAGGCAGCCGTCGGTGGCGTGGACGCCATGCTCGCACGGCTGCTGGAGATGTGCATCGCCTTTGTGGCACATCCCGCCTCTGCCAAGGACAGACAGACGTGCATCACAGCCACCAGCATGCTGGAGCGCCTACTCCCCCGCATGCGACACGTGGAACTTGTGGGACACTTTGAGCCGCTTGTTCGTTTGTTTAACGCCGTGACATGCCCTGAGGCGCGCCTGTTGCTCTGCCGCTCCCTGACGCTGGCGTTTCCACGGCTGGTGTACTCTGTGGACTCCAACTACTGTGGTGACAACGTGCGACGGGGTTCTGCTACTCACGTGGCACAAGTGGCAGCTGTTGGGCGTGCGGTGGCCTGCCTCAACGGATTTGCGGAGGACAACACGGATTTGGAGCGGTACGACTTTGAGCTTCGCTTTCACACCTTCCGCTCACTGCGGCAGTTCTTTGCGAATAACGGCAACTACCGGACGCTCCCTGCCAAACGGCAACATTGTACAGGGGAGGAGGTATCCTCCACGTCCCCTGCAGGGGGCAAGCAGGAGGTGCGGCAGGAGCGTGACTACAGCGGCGCCGCAGATGTGACGATGCCGCTGGATAAAACTGAGGCTCCTGTCTTGTGCGTCGAGGCCTTCCTTGCACTGACAGCAAATGCGATGTTTTTCCTGCGTGACTCGGAGGGGACAATACGTGTCTTGGCCGCCCAGCTCCTGGACGCGATGGTGTTGTATGCGTCAAGGCAGAAGGAACGCGCAGCGTCCTACGACACGCTGATTCTTGAGCGTGTGATACGACGTGAAATTTTGCCTTCCCTGCGGCGAGGCATCGCCTCACGCGATGCGCACATCCGCCTTGCACACATGCAAAGCTTCAGTTGCCTGGCGCAGTATTATCCTGTGGCGTTCCCTTCCTTTGCAGCACTGCATTCCCGCAGTGTGGAGCGGTGCTTCTTTGCAAATGTGGGTCACCTTCAGCATCGGTGTCGGGTGAGGGCGCTAGAGCTGTTGCGACAGAGCGTGGGACGTCTGCTACCGCGGGATGTGATTCGCGTCTTTGTGCCGTTTCTGCTGGTGGCAGTGAAGGACTTTGCACAGGGGAAGCGGGATCTACAGAATCTCACGGAGGGGCGCGCAAAAGGGTACTGTGACGCCGTCTTGACAACCGTGGCGGCCTTGGCGGCAGCGCTGCCGTGGGAAGGGTATTACCGAGTACTGAGTTTGTTTCTACAGAATGCCCGTGAGAACCCTTCCCTGCGACTGCCGATGCTTCGCGGTGTGGTGATGCTGCTCGATCACTTCCACTTTTTGAACGACGCAGACGCAGACGCGGAGGGGCCGAACAAGGAGGGCGGCAGTGGGACAACGGAGTCGGCGCGTGACGCAGGCAGCAGCCACCGTAAGAGAGACACCGCCGGCGCTTCTGCGGAGGTCAACGACAACAACGACGAGGGGGACGAGGAAGACGATGATGAAGAGGAGGAGGATGAGGCTGCCGCTGCGCTACGTGCACGGCGTCGCAAGTACCGTCGCGCGCGTGTCGTTCACGTGATGGAGGATGACGTTCTTCCGCAGCTGTATGAGTTCCTCGGCAATGGCTCGCGCAAAGGTGCCCGCCCCGCTGACGCCGAACTGCGTGGCAACATCCACACTGCCGCGAGTGTGCGGCAGGAGATGCGGAAGGCTGACAACGCGCAGCAGAACACGGCCATTCTGCAGCTGCCCGTGGCCATTGCCATCACAAAAATTGTCAAGCGCTTCCCACCGGAGCGTTTCTCGCTGCACGCAGAGCACCTCCTTGACGAGGTGGTGTTGAAGCTGCGCACGAAGAGCGACAAGCACCGGGAGAGCGCGCGCCGCATTCTCAGTGCGATGCTGTGTGAGACCGGGCCTGGGAAGCTTGAGTTTGTCATCACGAAACTGCGGGATCACCTTGTGCACGGCTACCAGCTGCACGTGCTTGGCTACACCATCGTGACACTCCTCTACAACCTTTATGAGCCCAAGCATGTTATCTCGTACAGGCGGAAGAAGCAGGTGGCGGGGGCGGAAAGCGCGGCAACGGCTCAGGGGGCACTGGGGATACCCGCGGGTGCCGCGCACCCACCACGTGACGACGACGACGATGACGAAGACGAGGCAAAAAAGGAACGGCGGAAAAACGAGAACGTGGAGGACAACGAGGATGCGGAGGCGGCAGCAGAAGAGGAGCTTGTGCGTCAACTGGCTCCTGTATCCACCAACTTTGATCGGGACTACGGAGTGGCGTGTTTGACGTCGTGCCTGGATAACCTGATGGGCATTCTCCTCGACGACTACCTCGGTGAGGTGGGCGAGCAGAAGGGGCAGGTGGAGCTTATGAGCACCATGGTGGAGGTGAAGCAGAACCGCGCGCTGCAGGGATTTACGCTCCTTGCCTCCCACTGCGAGGCAAGTCGCGTGATTGAGGTCTTCCTGCAAAAGATTACGTGGCTTCTGACGCCCCCAAGCACGGCAGCGGCGGTGGATGTCAGTGCCCTGCGTGGGAGCGCCCGCGCCGCCGCCATGCTGGTACAGGAGCTGAGGACGAAGTACAGCACCGTGAGCAAGAACGCCGCCGCCGACTTTGAGTTTGTCCAAAAGGTTCGACTGCTGGCCGTCCGCGTCGCGCGCGCGCTGCTAAAAAATGCGACGATGCAAGTGGAGTCCTCCTTCCTCACCGTGCGAAACCTGCTGCAGCGCCATAATGAGGTGCGGGAGGAGAAAATTAAGGCCTTCGAGGCGAAGGATGGTACCCGCCGCATTCGCGGTAACCTACACATGACGATTCAACGCGCCCCGACGGAGACTCGCAAGGACCAGCTCAACGCCAACTTCCTTGTGGAGCCGCGCCCGGAGCGGGTGGATCTGGACTTTAGCGTCCATACAGTGCTTGCGACGCAGCAGCGGCAGAAACTTCGCGCCTACCGTGGCCGCTACGGGAAGGAGATGCAGCAGGCCGCGAAGAACTTTTACCGTGAGGACCCAGCCACGGCAGTGGTGCTTGACACGCTCGACGAGTTTTTGCTCAAGTACTTGTTGAGTGTACTGAAGCAGGTGCTGGGTATTGGGAAGGGGCGGAAGTGCACTACGGCAGCCGTTCGCCTCGACCTGCTTCGCTCCCAAAAGAAGCGGCAGCAGGAGGGCAGGAGCCACGGCACTGAGGACGAGGACGAGGAGGAAAATGTGGATGATGACGGTGGTGGCGTGCCAAGCGAAACGGAGGCGGGTGGTGAAAGTAGTAGTGAAGAGGAAGTGGAAGAGGAGAATGCGAGTGTGCTTTTGGAGCCACAGCCGCTGGATGATGAAACTGGGGATGCGTTGGACCGTTTTGCCACCGCAGCACAGCAGGAGGAGGAGGAGGCTCACGATGAGAATAACGACACTAATAATCAGGCGGAGGCGTCTGAACACTCCCACATGACAACAACAAGGCAGAAACATCGGAGGCAGGAAGTGGAGAGGCGTAGTAAGAAGCATCAGCCCATGGCGGACTTAACGTCCTCCTTTACGCGTCAGCATCAACAGCTGTTGGAAAGCTTAGTCCCCATCGTCCTCACAACTCTGCAGGGCGAGGGAAGTGACGCGGTGGTGGGGCATGCGCTTGACTGCATGTTGGCCCTCGTTTCCCTGCGACCCCCGTTGCAGGCGGTAGGGACACTCCACACCGCACTGTACGACACCGTCACCGCCTTCTTTGAGCGGGGTGGGGCAATTAAGCAGCGCGCGATGCGCGTGGCGGCAGCGGTGGTGGCGCACCAGCGGTTTGTACTGGCCGAAGAACAGGCCTCGCAGCTGCTACGTTTGTGTCGTGCCGAGCTTGTCGATCGCGGTGAGTATCTCCCCATGGCGTTAGCCCTGTTTCATGCGGTGCTCGGCAAACACATACACGTTGTAGAGGTGTACGAACTGATTGGGGTGGTGACAGAGCTGATGATGCACACCAGTGCGAAGCGGTTACTGCGGCAACGCTGCATCGCTGTGCTCGCGCGTTTTCTGACGGAGTACCGCATCACCCCAGAGAAGTTCCGCTCCCACATTGACCTTCTTTGTCGGAACCTTGACTACCCCGAGGTGACAGGCCGCATTGCGATCCTCGAGCTGCTTGGTGTGCTTGTCTACCGCCTACCAACCAGCATCCTTCGACAAGAGGCACCGCTGCTGCTTATGCCGCTCACCGTCACCCTTGCCGCCACCGAGTTTTACGAGGCGCGACGGAAGGCTGGGGATGTCCTGCAGAGTTTAGTTAAAAACGCCGGTTTGGATGTGGTGGTGCCCACACTCTCGCAGTGGCTTGCGGCAGACCAGGTGCGCCCCCGCAAGGCCATGGCACTGCAGGCGTGGGCTGTGATGATTCCCGCCGTGGGTGCCTTGTACGACATGAGCGTCGAGGAGGACGCACAGGAGTTTCAGTCGTGTTGGTCCTGGTCGCTTCAAGCGCTGCAGGAGGCGGCAACGTTTGATCAGGTAGCGACATTTGGCACGAAACGCAAACGTGAGGAACTCACCGCGGATTTGAAACGTAAGTTGGAGCTCAAGAGTTGGACTTATATCTTCTTTGGCCTCCGCTGCCTGGAAGGCATTGCGACGGTGGCCCCTGCGCAGGTGTGGCAGAATATACCCCTCGCCCGCCGTGTTGTGTCGTGCCTCGCGGACCGTCTTGTGCTGCACGTTCACCCGTGGATTCAGTCGGTGGCCTTGCGTCTGCTGCGGATGTACTGCCACGACGTGGTGGAGCTGCGGTGCGGGTACCTGCGTGCGACGGACTGGGTGGCTGAGGGGCGTCTTGTGGCCGTCTCCAGGAAGAATTCCGCGTCTCCCTCGCAGAAGAAGAGGAACGGCGAGGGTGAACGCGCCAAGGTCAAGCTCCAGACCGCCACCCTACAGACCCCCATGTTTGCGCAAAGCCAGGATGATAGTGACAATGGATCCACCCCCTACGTGGTTTGCCTTCATGACTCACTGGGCCAGCCGGACACCGTCCAACGAGCGCTGGAGGTGTTGGATGAAATGGCCACCGCGATGCGAGCACTGCTGCAGTGCATCGCGCTTTCTGATGTGCCAAATGAGAAGTACAGTGCCCACCGCGCGATGCAGCAACCTTCAAGGACCGATGTGGTGAGCCTAGCGTTGTACTTCTCTCGTGCAATGATGCTTGTGAGCGTTGTGCTGCTCAACATGGCGGTCTCTCGCGCTGGTGCGGGGGCGTCGTCGGTGCAGGATACCATTGCGCAGCACTTTGCCTCCCTGCGCCACCAGCTCCATGCGCTGGTGAGGCCTGTCATCAAGCATGGCAGCGTCGCCAACGTGATGGTGCGCACTGCGTCTCTCGTGCAGTACTTTGGCGGCTTCCTCGCCGCTCTGCCCACCGACACGAAGGCGGAGGATGCCAACTGCACTGCCGCGGCGGAGGAGGCGGGCGAGCAGGAGACCAATGCGCATGACGGGACTTTGGCATCTCGCGAGGCCGCCGTTGCTCATCGCCCCATGACGCAGGCACTCTGCTGGCTTGCGGGCCATGCCATTGGGTTGCGCTTTGTGCGGGACACGATCGTGCCCACACTTACCGTGGCGACGCGCTGTGGGGATCGGTCGGAGAAGCTGAGTGTGATGGCGACGCAGGCCTTGACGATGCTGCGGGAGCAGTTGGAGACCCACCGCACCCACTTTGACGCGGAGATCAAGGTACCACTATCACCAGCAGCGGCAGCGACGAAGCGGACCCGCCTGGAGAAAAATAGACGGCGGGGAAAAGAAACTGAGGTGCAGGAAAAGCAGGCGGCGCCCACCGCCGATGATGATGATGCGGGGGACGGCGCACCGACGGTGGATGATGTTCTCTTTGCGTTAACAGCAGAAACAACCGCCGTGCGGACCATGCGGAAGGACAAGACAACACGGCGGGAAACCCTACAAACCCTCCGCAAGCGTCGCCGCAGCAGCGGCGGTGATACTGCGGCCCGCAACCAACAGGAGGCGCCCCAGCGGAGGCGCCCCTCGCGTGGGTGAAGCTCTTTAGAAATAACGCCAGAAGTAAATACCAAAAAAAAAAGTTAAGCCCAAGCTTTTGTCACGGTGTATATTATGTGTGTGTGTAACTGACTGTGACTGTGTGAGTGTGTCGTGCTAGTGACTTTCTCCGAAGCCGTTTAAAAGGTATGATGAGGCATTAGCAAAGAAGGTGAATTGTGATTAAAATGGATGAACGTCCAGGAAGAGGAAGAAGAAAAGTAATTACATATATATGCTGGCTGGCTAGCTGGCCTAAGTACACGTGTGTGTCAGCACAGTGGTGTGGAATAATAATCGTTAAAATATGCATCACTTGCTTCTGTCTGTCTGTGTGCGTGCAGGGAGGAGGAAGAGGTTTGTATCAATTGCCTGACAGACAGTCGTATACCTCGGTGTGCTTGTACCTTTCAAACCTATTATTATTACCCTGCGTGTTCTCTCTCTCTCTCTCTCTCTCCATCTCACTCTGCGTACACATACACAAGCCGGTAGCCATTCTGTTGCTTTTACGTGCACACACGTATACCTTTGTAAGACGAAAGGTGGGCGGGAGAGGGGGTTGACTTGCACTGTATTTTATCCCGCATAAACGCGTAGTTCTGTGCTTATTTATACCGTGGCTGTATCTGTGTCTGTGTGTGTGTGTGTGTGTGTGTGTGTGGGTCGACTTGTGGTGGTGGTGCCTGCGGTGTGTGCGACGGCTAAAGGGGGCTTGTAGCATCACCAACCGCGTCCTCGGGCAAAGATACGAGCAACAACGTTGCTGAACTGCCAAAGGCTCCGCGGTCAATCTATAACTCAAAGTACTAACATTTTGAGAGGAGTTTGAGAGGGGCATTTGTACTGGACGGTGGCGGGGCGGGATTCTCTCCCTCTCAGACGAGAAAAAGGAGGCGGGTTTGCTTCGTTACGTGCTTGCCGGATGCCGACTCACAGTGGGGTTGTGGGGCACGCGAGTGTGGCGGCTGCCTCGGCGCACGGTGGGACGCGTGCATCATCGGCTGGATTCGTCGCCGGCGGCGTGGCGAGCACAGGGCGGCGGAAGGCCCCGCGGAAAACACAGCAGCAGTCGTCAAACTCGCCCTACCCGACGCCGCGGCTGGACACACATCTGCTGGAGGATCACTTTTCCGCCAGGACGGGGGAGATGTATTCACCACCCAGGCTGCTCCACGCTCAGGATCTGCGGGGTGAGGCGACCGCCAAGGCAAGGCTGCAGACAACGCTCTCGCCACGTATCCGCATGTCTGTTTACCCCGCAGGCCGACGCGCGGCCTCGAGCAGTGCCCTGCATGAAGACAGTATCTATGCCAACGGAAACAGTAGCCCCCTGTTGCCCACTGGTCAAACGCCACCGTTTGGCATCTTGTCGTCAGCCGAGCCCAGCACTCCTAGTAACTATGGTGATTCATACCGGGAGCTTGGTGATTCCAGCAGCGGGCACCGTACTGTAGGGCCTTTGGTGACAGAAGAATGGGCTCGCAGTATTGTACAGCCACAGGACGAGTGTTTTTTGTACGAGTGCCGAGCTCCAGGGAGCAAAAAACGTGAGGGACGAGTGCGTCAAATGCAGGGGATACTGCTGCGTGAACAGGCAAGAGCGGCTGCTGGCTTCAATGGGGGTCTCAGGGCTGGTATGAGGCCTGAGGAAGCTGCAGTGCCTGTGATCTCTACCGCTCGACGGCGCAGTTTGAGTTGGCAGCATCAACAACGGCAGCAGCAGCAGCAGCAGCAGCAGCAGCACACGTCGCCATCCCTGGAAAGTTTGATATTAGACGGCGAAGAGATTGAGCGAGAGCGTACGGTGTGGATGAATGAGCGTCAGATACGTGCCCGAGGTACGCCTTTGTTGTTTGCGCGGCCGCGACTACAACCTAATGCTTCCGATAAAAAAAATTACGGCGAATGGCAAAAAAACAGCAGCGCGGTCATTTCAGCCAACTCCACTGCGCCGGCGACGTATGGTGTGGGAAATGGCACGACCCCTGTGTCGCCGCTGCAGCGTCATTTAAGCGGTGATATTATGATCACACCCATCCTGCAACACGGTTTCACCAACCCGGAACGTTTCCTGCTTAATGCTGCTGGTTCGGCGGGCGCACCTTTGCTATCTGCCTCCAGCGGTAACAAGTCGCCAGTGTTGCTCGCAGATGAGCCCTTGTCACTGCCCCGACACACTGATGCTGAGACGCGTGCTACTGAAAGGGCGCGGAGTCAAACACCCGCCACCCCTGTTATGCCTCCACCGAGGTCGTCTTCACTTTCTGTGTTTTCTGACACGGCTGTACCGGATGTAACGCGGCTCTTTGATGACCCACTTTTTCTTCTTCGCGGAGATGAGAACCTCGGGCGATTGCAGCTTGCTCAGGCGGAGCATGAGGCACGCGAGCGCCTGCTGCAGCTGCATACTACCTCCGCTCAGAGCGGTCATTCTCTGCTCTCGCTGGGGCAGGTGCGCGAGGAGGAGCCCAAGGCGCGGTACACACAGGAGGTTCGCCTGGGCCTCGTTGCGAGGCGACGCGTGACGCCCAAACCTGTAGTAAAGCCTAACGAGACTAAGGGCGCGGGACATGAAGGTGAGGGCAACCATACCACTGCTAGTGAAGCAGCCAGCGCTAGCACCACGTCTTGTGTTTCTGTATCAACCGTCAATGCATGTACGCAGGAAAAACCGCACAACACTGTCAAGTCACGCTATGTTATCTTGGACGCCGTGTCAAAGAAAAAATTGGCACCTGCCACGAGGATGCACGAGAAGCTGCTCTGTCGTCGCGGCAAGTCTGTGGGGGGTCTTGAGCACAGCGGCGTTGAGCCTCCGGTGAAAAGTAAAGTACGACACGGTGGAACGGCGGCAGCGGCATCGGCATCGTTGGCCACTTTCAAGAAGCGACAGGAAAAAAATGAGACGCATAAACCAACGCGAAAAGCATTCCAGCCACCGGCACCGCTCCAAGATGTGGAGGGTTGCTGCTGTGAGAGTGAGACCACGAAATTCCCTTCACCACCGCCGGAGCCGCCAACGCAGCAGGAGCAGGAGGAAGCCTTGGCAGTAGCTGTTGAGTCGCAGGGTGCGGCGGCTTACGTGAATGGGTCTTCTGCCATTCTACCAGTGAAACCAAATAGTCATCAGGGTCCTGTGTCGCCTCCGCAGAAGGCTAAATGTCTCGGGAGTGGACGAACGCGAGACGCCCTGAGTGCCTGGGATATTTCCTACCCCTCCAGCGAGTCCGTGTCTCGGGGCCAGTCCACCTCTTCATCACCTGTGCATAACTTGGACGAGACGATAATGAAGTCTCCAACGGAAATAGATTCGCTAGGTGCATGTAGAAGGAGTTGCATAAATATGACGGCCTCAGGGGCCCGTGACGGTGTGTCTCAGACCAGGTTTCAGAAACGCATGCAGCAGGAGGCGCTGACGGTGTCCTCAGTATCCAAGATGTTGGAGGCGGAATTTTCCTGCCAGGAGGATGAACCTGATGCGGAACTCAAGGAGTACGTGCAGTTTGCATTGCGGCAGGAGGAGAAGCGTATGACGGCTGAAAAAGGGGCTGAGGAGGACATTACTGAGTTTCCGGGTGTGATGTGGCTTATGCGACACCAACGTCGCTTGCGAAAAGGCGGGGCAAGTACGCATCCTGTCAAAAACGGGGTGAAGCATGCGGTACCGGGGGCGGAGAAGGGCATTGTCAGTGCCAACATCGATGACGTCTTGGACAGCGATGAGGGCAGCGTGAATCAATGGCTGGAGGAGCTGGGTCACTACACACGGAACGTGAATGCCGTACTTACGGCCTTTGGAACCCTTTGGCAGGTCCCATTTCAAGACGCCGATAAGCGAGAGACGCTGCCACTTGTTGTACGGGCGCAGTTACTTTTTTTTGACCTGTGTTCACGTGCCGAGAATAAAAAGAAAGCCGCAGTGGAGGACAACACTCAGAACGGCCATGACATGACAGAGTGTGACAGCAAACACAACGGTGGGGTGTTCTCCGCTAGCGTGGACTAATAGACGCCGCTGCCGCTCCCTTTTTTTCTCTCCCTTTATTTTACTTTAAAGCGGAGGAGGGCAAAAAGAGGTGAAATGCAGGCAAGCGGTGTTGTAATAGATGTCGTGGCAGGAAGCAGGTGCGAGGGTGGGGAGAGCTGGGGTGCTTTTTAGTGTACGGCAATGCGATAGATACGTAACATACCTGCGTGTGTGTGTGTGTGTGTGTGTGTGTGTGTGGTGTGGGTGTGGGTGGGTGTCTGGATTGCGGTGGTGGCGGTGGATTTGATTTAGGCGATCTCTCCTGCGGTTTGGTGCCTGCTGAAGACAGCCCGTGCTATTCATCTTTGTCTGTCTGTTTGCCTCTGTTTTGTCATCAATGCGGCGTTGTTGATGGCCTCGGCTGTTTCCCCGCGTGGATGCACGCTCGCGTGTCTGTCTCGCTTGGTCAGCTGCAACGCGCCCCGCCCACACCCCCCGGTGTGTGTCTCCGACCTCTCTGCCCCGCGATGGCGGCTCCCCCGCCGTGACTTCTCTCGCGCCTGTGATGCTCCGCGGCACGCCAGAAAAAAAAGAGAACGAAAAAAAAAAAGCGTGGATATCGGATGGGAAAGTGCACATCGTGAGCAGTAAACGCAAGCACACAGAGGCATTCACGGAGAGTGAGAACATCACAAACAAAAACAAAACAGAAGTAAGTTGCGTGTGCGTGTGTGGAGTGCATAACGTTGCGGTCCATGCGTTTCTTCATCGGCAGCATGTCCGGTAGAACGACTCGAGTTGTGGGTGCCGGCGTTGCGTGCTGCTGCTCCGCCGGTTGGCGACGCCCCGTCAGTGGGGCCGCCGCGTTATTTCGCATGGGCTGCGGCAGCCCAACCGTCTCATTGCAGCAGCAGCAGTAACCAACCTTTGCGCTGTGCTCTCAGCATTGCGCCATCGGGCCACGCCAATACGCACCAAAAGGGTTTCGCGAGGCCGCCAGTCGCGCCCCCATGACGTACGAATTTGGTGAGGAGTGCAGCGAGCTGGCCAAGGTGGCGCATCAGACGAGAAACTACGGTGACGCTATCAGCCTCTACGACTGGGCCCTGACGATGCGTCGGGAGCGGTACGGTCCCATTCACGAAAAGTGCGCTGCCACACTGCACAACCTTGGACGCACCTTTCTTGACATGTGGGAGCCGGGGGCGGCGGAGAACGCCTTGACGGAGGCCGCCGCCATCTACGAGCAGGTGAAGGGCAAACAGTCCGTACGCTTCGCTGAGAGCCTTGCACTGCTGGCGCTGGCGTACACGCATTTGAAGTTCCTTGACGAGGCGGAGAAGGCGTTCCGCGACAGCATTAGTGTTTTTTGCGGCAAGTCGTACAATCACGCGAAGCAGTCGTGGCTGCCGGATGACGCGGCGACGGCGGTGACTATCGAAGAGCCGCAGAAGCATCCGCTGGCGTCCGCCGCCCATGCAATTGCCGACTGTGCTCAGTTGTTTTTGATGCAGAATCAGGAACATCGGGCGATTGCGTTTCTGGAGGAGGCGCTTGAAATTCGTCGTTATCTTTACGCCCGGTACAATAAGTACCGTCCCATCATTGCGCAGACGCTTAACAAGTTGTGTGAGCTCAAAAGGGCGATCAATGACGCCACGGGGGGCGGAGATGTGCATTGGCGAATGTCTTGATATTTGCATTGCCACGCTGGGCCGCGATTCCCCAGTGACGGCGCAGGCGACGAGCAGCAAAGCGTCACTGCTCGCCGCCCGTCGCCAGTTCCGTGAGGCACGGCGTTTGTATGAAGAGAGCGCCACAACCTACGCCGTGACGCTGGGCAAAGACTCAGCGCTTATTGGTCTCGAGCTGGTGAAGCTGGGTCGCATTCAGGAGCTGTGCGACGACAACGTCACGGCGGAGAAAGCCTACGAGTCTGGCATTGATGTGATTCGCAAGGCGCTTGGACCAGACAGGTTGCAGCTCGCGGAGGCGTACACGTTTCTCGGTTCCCTGCTTGTAAAACGGCAGGAGTTGACACGCGCCATTGACTTTTTCCGCAAGGCGGTGGGACTGCGCAAGAATAGGAACCGAAAGGACCCGCAGCTGGCGTACTTGTACCATAAGCTTGGGGACGTGTACGCGATGCGGTGAGAGTCGCATGCGGAGGCGTATTTTTTGCTGAGTATTGAGCAGTTTCGTGAGAACGCCAAGGTGGAACCGCTGCAGTGCACTTTTTTGACGAACGTCCTGGATGACTTGGGCCTCTTCTACCTGGGCTTTAACCACTATGAGAAGGCGGAGCAGTGTCTAAAGGAGGCGCTGGACACCCGTATTGAGATTGAGATGCTTGGGGGATACTCACACCACGGTGGCGTACTCGTACAGCAACTTCGCCATGTTGTACCTACACCGCGAGGACACGGAGAACTGGGAGAAGATGTGTCAGACGGCGTTCGACATGTACGCCAAGACGGCACGCTCAAACGTGCTTCCGCAGGCCGACGTGTACACAGCCTACGGTCAGTGCTGCCATCTGCAGCGACGCCTGCAGGAGGCGCTCAAGTGGCATGAAAAGGCATTAAATGTACGGCGGACACGTTGGGAGAGTGGCGAGCCAGCCACCGCAGAGTCACTCAATCACATTGCACGTGTGTATGTGGCAATGAAGCAGTATGCCTCAGCCACAAAGTACCTGGCAGGGGGAAAGAAGGTTGCCTACGAGTTCACTGCGGAGCTGACGCAGTACCTGCGCCGGGAGGTGGCAAAGACGGAGCAGCAGACTTCCCCCCCCCCCCCCCCTACCCATAGAGGAGTGGAGCTGGGAGAACCGCATCGCCGTCACACCGGGGCTCGCTGATGACGCCAGTACGCGGGGGGTGGGACAAGCACTGGGATGGCGGCGGAGAGAATTTATGCTGCAGAAGGGGGAGGCCGGCGAACACCGACACGCTCGATGATTCCCTCTGTGCCACACGGGCGCAGGGGTCGGTAGCGGTGAGAAGGGTGGAGTGACGGAGGAGAGGAAACATTTTTTTTTTTTTGCTTTTTAGCTGTTATTTTGCTTTGCTTTGTGTTTTTGACATGCTTCATCTATCACATGCATAACTGAACGTACCCCTAACGTGCCTCTCTTTCTCTCTCGTGTGTGTGTGTGTGTGTGTGGGTTGTTTGCCTTGAAGGCACTGTGCGTATCCCGCTTTCTCTCTCCCCTCAACGAGAGGCTTTTTTTTTGTTATTATTATCTTTTCTTTCAAGCTTTGTAGCACGTTGCAGGTGCCGCTAGTACCCCCCCCCGCACGCGTAGACTCGGTTACTCCGTCAACAGAACATACAGCTATCGTTGCTGACATGTCGACCAACCGCTATCCGGCCTTGCCGAGCCGCATGTCGCTGATCTCCTTCAAGACGCGGCTGCGCGGGGCGCAGAAGGGACACTCGCTTCTGAAGAAGAAGGCTGATGCCCTCGCCATTCGCTACCGCACGATCATGGGTGAGCTGCGTAACGCAAAGCTGGAGATGGTGGAGCAAATCAAGGGATCGTACTTTACCGTCTCGAAGGCACAGTTTATAGCCGGTGACATTGGACTTGCTGTGCAGGAGTCTCTAAAGCTGCCGACGTACACGATGCGGCTCCGGGTGGACAACATCGCCGGTGTGCGGGTGCCGAGCTTTAGCGAGAGTGAGGGCAATGGGGGCGAATTCGGCGCGGGGGATGACACGCGGCTACGGATGGGGGCGGCAGGTATCGGGCGCGGTGGGGAGCAGCTCAAGGAGGCGTCCGAGCGGTTTCACGACACCCTGCGACTTCTTGTAAATATTGCGTCGCTGCAGGTTAGCTGGGTGACGCTCGACATTGCGCAGAAGGTGACGAACCGCCGCGTCAACGCGCTGGAGAAGGTGGTGATCCCTCGCGTGCAGAACACGCTGAGCTACATCATCTCGGAGCTAGACGAGCAGGAGCGGGATGAGTTCTTTCGGCTCAAGATGGTGCAAAAGAAGAAGCGGCAGTTGCAGTCAAGGAAGTTGCGGGAGGCGCTCGCACAGGCGGAGCTGAAAGGCCCCGCTGCCGTCCCAAACGCACTCACCATGATGAAAGGCAGCGACGACGCCGGGGAGGATGAGGCAGACATGGTCGTGTAGACTAAACGCATGTCACAGATGTGGTTCCCTCTCCCTCTTTGTGTGTGCGTGGGCAGTGGTGTGTAGGGGAGAAGGAACAGAAACCCAAACAAAACGAAAAAAAAAAAAACAAAGAACAAACAAAAAAAAATAGGAAATAAAAAACGACACGTGACTTACCGGCACATGGCACCAGCCAAGCCTTTTTTTTTTTTTTCTTCTCTTCCTTCATCTATTGTGACTGTCTTTCTCCCCCCAAGGTGGCTTGCTGTGCCCCCTCTCTCCATCCATCTCTCTTTCGCTTCCTCCGGTAGTGTGTGTGTGTAGTGGTGTAGATGCTGCGCCCTCTTCCTCCGTTGCGTTCTTTTCTCCTCTCTTCCTGCGCCGCCGTCGCGCGCGCAGACACCCCCACTCACACGCAAATACACGTTCACCCAAACAAAAGGGGGAGGAGGTTTAGGCAGAAGAAAGGCAGAGAGATCGTGTGGGTGAGCAAATGGTCAGGGAGAATGTGCGGGGAGAGCTAGAGGAACTTGAGGCTCTCCAGCCGGGGGAGGTGCTTCACTACGACTACCGCAGCGACGCAGCGAGGGCGGTGAAGCTTCCGGAGAACTTTCGGATCGTTCAGTGGAATATTGAGCGTGGGATTCAGTATGAACGCATTGTGCAGACACTGCAAGCCCTTCAGGCCGATGTTCTCGTGTTGCAGGAGGTGGACATCAACTGCCGGCGCTCGCACTATCGGAACGTCGCCCGTGACCTCGCCGAGGCGCTGGGGATGGAGATGTACTTCGCCTGCGAGTTCGAGGAGCTCGATGCGGTGGATCGGCTGCCAGTGCACGCCGTGGGCCCGCTCTCGCCGCCGAGAGCCACAACTGGTGATGAAAATGTCGATGGGATCTCCTTGCACAGGCAGGGCCGCCGCTTTCACGGCAACGCCATCCTCTCCGCACATGCTACTCTCAGTGATCCCTGCGTTATTCGCCACACGGCGGGTATTGACTGGGAAACAGAGGGGAGGAAACGGCATGAGCCGCGGCATGGATTTCGCAATGTCCTGCGCTGCCGTATTCGCCGCAGTGAACGCACGCATCCGCAGATGCCGGACCTGTATGTGTACTGCTGTCATTTCGAGGTGTTTTGTGGGGCGCTTTCAAGAGTGCGACAACTGCTGGACGTCGTGCGCAACGCCACCAGTGTGCTCAAGGAGGAGAAGCAGCATGGCATCTCTTATTCTTATGGCTCCCACCACCACCACCACGGCCAGCAGCAGCAGCAGCAGCAGTCCGCCTTTATTATTGCTGGAGACTTGAACACCATGGCGGATGGCATTGTGCGTCTGGCGACGAGATTTGATCTGGGGCGGTTGCGGTTCTTTGGCGTTGGGGAGAAGGAGGCATGTTGGCTGCAGCGCAAAGTTCTGTCGCGTCACATGCGTCAGAGTTGCTGCCCCTTTTCCTTCCGTTTTCTTTTTCACCTACTTGGTATGCTGCATGACACCGTTTGGAACAGTGATTTGGTGTGGCGCTGGGTGTATGGCTTCTCCGAAGACGAAATCGCTGCGTTAGACAATCGTCTGCTTTGCTTCTACGACCCAGGCGACAAGGCGCTGTCGATCACGCTCGATAACCCGGCCTTCCACGGCTTCGTGCGTGGGAAGCTGGATTGGTTGCTGCTAAGCAATCTTAGGGTTGCGCCGCCCACGCTCACGGAGGAGGCCATTGCTGCGCTGAAGGACAGCAGCTCCATCACCGCAGAGACCGCGTCCACGCTGTCGGCGTTGCAGCAGAAGATGCTGCTGCCACAGCATGGATACGTGCTATTTAACGAGCACTTTGACGCCTCCGACCATAAAGGTCTACTGATGCACGTCCAGCAGCACAGTGGGCTGCCACAGGAAACCTACCCGAAGTATGGCGCTATGTACACTGCGTCATGGGTTCATGTGGGATTTTTCACGATGACGCGGGCACTGCCGTGGGTCGGTCTGGCGTTTATACTCTACAAGCAATGTCAGCGTTGGCGTTAGAGGAAGCAAGAAAAAAAAAAGTTTTAAAAAGACATATTTCGTTGGTCAGACCCCTAATTCGTTTATAAATGTCGAGAGACTGGGCAGGCACACGTGAGTTCCGCGCAAAAAAAAAAGGAAGGGGAGGGGAGGGGAGGGAAGGGAAGGGAAGAAAAAGGCAGAGAGCGGTTAATTCCACCAGTGTGTGTGTGTGGCCGCCGACGGGCAAGTGG